TTCGGTTATACTTCAACGTCTGACGCCTTTAAGAGAGACCAACATCCGTGAACAGCAAGCAGGATTCCGGCCTGGCCGTGGATGTATTGATCAAATTTTTACATTGCGTCAGCTCCTTGAGCTGCGTCGTACTCACCGTCGACGAACGATCGCAGTGTTCCTTAGCCCGAAAGGAGCCTTCGACTCAGTTGACTGCGAAGCTCTGATGGGCTCTCTTCTTTGAAAATGAATGTTCCAGAAGTACGTTAACCTACTGAGGTCACTGTACTCACATGTTTCCGGTCGTGTAAGGGTTTACAACAATCTAAGTAGGCCGTTCGTCACCAGCAGCGCCGTCCGTCAAGGATGCCCTCTTTCGCCGCTCCTGTTCAATTTCGTCGTAAACGAAATACTGGAGAACGCACTAAGTGGATTCTAAAAGGTAGGAATTGAATGGACAACTAGAGAAAAGCGGTGTGATTTATGGTACGCCAATGACATCGTCCTCGTTTCGAATGTATAGAGAACGCGCAAAGCGCACTTGACAGATTAACAAGTGCAGTAGCCACATTCGATATGTGCTTTGCACCGTCAAAGTGCAAAGTGACGCTGCAGGACTGGGTTTCGTCTACTCCCACTCTGACACTAAATGGCCAGGATTTAGTTGCGATGAATTACTTTTCCTACTTAGGTAGTTGCGTGACCAATGACGGTAGTGCAGCAAAGGAGATAACCGCCCGCATTTCCAAGGCCCGAGCTGCGTAAACAGGATTCAATCACCTTTGGCTTCGGGGCACGACGTTTCACTGAAGCTGAAAGGTCGTGTATATTGTGCTAGTGTTCGTTCAGTCCTGCTTCATGGTTGTGAGACCCTGAATTTGCGAGTAGAAGATATCTGTCGACTAGAAGTTTTCGATTATTGGTTTCTACGCAGTTTAGCCCACATTGGATGGAAAGAACGGGTTAGTAACGCGGAGGTAAGCCGTCGTGCGTTTGGGAGTTTGTCAGGTGTAAACCCGCTGGCGCACCGAATTCAGATTAGTAGACTTCACTGGCTAGGGCACGTATCGTGTATGCCCAGCTGTTGTCTGCCTCATCGCGCTTTATTCGCCATAGCTAATCCGGGCTGGAGGAAATCGCGTGGAGGTCAACAGATGACGTGGAGACGAGGCATGAAGAAATGTACAGAGCCATTAGGTAGAGTAGGCGTCTCTCGCCTTCCAGGTTGGGGTCCGAAAGACTCCACAACCGGTTGGTTGGAGACATTGAAGGATATGGCAGCGAACCGGCAGCAGCGGCATTCTTATTGTCATTTCTTATTAGGTCAGAATGCTTGAAACGGTATGTGTGCAGAGTTCGATTGCGTACTCTGTGTTGACCATAGTGGCTCATCTCCTCTCTCTCTCTCTCTCAAAATAGGTCCAATCCCATTCCAACTCAAATTTTACCACTAAACTGGCGCCTCCTTGTATTTCGCCGTAGGAGGATGATGATGATTCTGACAATGGTTGATCACATATTTCAGTAGGTGGAAAGTATCCCAGCAACGGATCAAACAGGCGATACCGTCGCTTGCGGTTCACGGTCAGGTGGTTCTATACATGCGAAACGAACGGCACCAGCCAGATGCTGTGGTTTGAGTTAAAGGAATTTTGAGACACGTAGGAGAACACAAACTTCATCAGGTAAACTGAATGTCGAAAAATCACTATAAAAAAGGATTAAACAATCATCAAAACGACTATGTTAAGGAAACTCCAGAAACGTTACTCAGCTACGATAGAACGCACTACTACAAAACAAAAGATACCGTTGGGGCTGGTGTTCGGTAAGAAACCCATGATGGTGCTGGATGCGTGGCTCGAAAATGAGAGCGACCAACAGCTGGTGGTATGTAGCCGGAAACCCCTGGCAAAACTGGTAGTTCAGTGTGAAAATCGTTCAAAGTCCAACTAAGTAGTGATATGACTATCAAAACCCATGGAGTGCGTTCTTTTCTGGACAATTCGTGAAAGTAAAGAACCACAGTAAACCTTATGAGGTACAACCAGGAACCAACACATTCTAAATTCGATGTAATGGGCCGTAAACAATACTAGACCGAAAGAACATTAGCCAAGGGTATTGGAGGGAACCAATCGCTCTGGCTGACATGGAACAAGACGCGATAAAGCGAGGGCTAGCGCAGGGAACATTGGCTTATATCAAGGAATTCGTCCATCACCAGATATCCAAGCAGCAAAATTTATTTAGTTGATCGGTTACTCACCTAGACAGCACAGCTCACAATCGATCAATTTAGTATCAAAATGGTATTTTATACGAAATGTGTAAAACACAAACTAGACAGAGATACATTGCATCAAAACTGAAAGAGGACATATGTCGCGAGATGTTAGCATTTCGCTTAGTCTTCTCAATCGCTGAAGTAAAACAAACAAGCACATTTAGTGCACATTGGATTTGTAAATCCTGGTGAACGGACATGTACAGTTAGACAGGGGTTATAAGAATTAAAAGCATAGGTCAACTCCACGACAAGTGAACTGATTGCATCAACAACTGTGAACACAGGACGGGATTATGTAACCTGATTAGCAACGCCTCACTTATTGCCAAAAGTTTTGCATTGCAGTTACGTAATAAAACAAAATGTTAACATCTCGCGACATGTCTTCTTTCGGTCTTGATACGATGGATAAAGGGGACAAAGTGTTTTAAATTTCTAAAGAGATACATTAGTCAGAAAAGCTTGCAAACCACCTCAGTAGTATCCTTGAATTCAGTGAGGTGACAGCTGTATGTGAGATAACACTTCGTCATTTTCCCGCGTATGACGATGCTCACAACATTTAGTGAGTTTGGTGGTACTGCATTGTAGACTATCAATGAAAGGGATGGATAATGTGATTGGCTCGGTGACGCAAACCAATCAAGATAAACTGGTCAAAGGAACTGCAGTGGCTAGATGAGAAGCACTTTGCAACCGACAAAGGGAGTTATATTGATAAACAAGCGGAGTACTTCTAGAATCCCGGTAAAGAGCAATATGCCGCAAGTCGAGAGTTGCAGTTCACAACGTCCATTGGAAGAAAAAGATCAACACAGAGAGGGAGGGAGGCCTAAGAACTGTCATCAGACTACTAAGATGGAGCCAGAATGCTGAGCTATTCGGAACGCAGATCTCGACTGAGGGTGGTTCGGAAAAGGGCAATATACACGACCGAACGTGGTTGGCCAAAACAGCTTTTTCTGTTACCTTAATAAAAATACGCCTCGTTAGCTTGCCCTTTCGCTACGTTATGATCGATATTAAATATCGCAAAGATTCTTGCCAATTTTTAAATATACTTCTCTGATAGCATGATCCTCGATTTTCACACACTACGTTAACTCCGGATTTGAATGCCTAGCTGACGTATTTCTTTCAATGGTTTTCGAAACGTGATTCAAGAGTTGTTGTTCGCCATAATTCAGAACCTGCCCGGATCGCTTGTTTAGAAAGCCGATTTTAGGCAGACGACCGCTAGGAGATATCAATAGCCAAGGAAGTTGGAGATTGGTTACAGGATGCGACCACGTCGTTTCTGGATTATTTAGTTGTACAGGAGTGTTTCATAAAGTGGGAAAGAGCGAACAGTCACAACCCAAGACCGCTATTCTCGACCACAGATGCAGACACTGAAGAAACAAACACCATATTCGTCATTATGAGCGAATCGTCGCAGCTAACAAATTGACGCAGTTTTAATGGAAAAACATGGAAGACTTACTTCCGACCCCGAGCGACGCCGACATCCCGGGACCACCGCCGACAGTCACAACCCTTCCACTCGGGTCACGCACAACCCGGCGCACTTTAAGCGCAGTCGGCACGAATCGCGTAGCATCTCCAATGAGATTCTTCAGTTGCGGTTTTGCTTCAATGGTCGTGTTGACAGTTTGTCCAGCGGAGGCTGCTGCCGCCGAAGCTGCTGCTGCATTCTGTGAGGCCGCGTTGGAAGCACTCAGTAAGTCAGCATTGTCCAATGGATCGCGGGGATGTAAGCTAGGTGGTGCAGATAGCACAGCACTGACACCCGCTGAAAAAAATGGAAGCTAAACGATATTCGTATGTTTTGTTTGTCTTTCCCTCATTGGGATCAAGAAAAAAACTATCAAACAATGAATAGATCAGTAATTACGATATTTTTAACAAGTAAGGGTGGTTTAGTGGTAGGTACACTCCCGTGACCTGTATTCCAAAAGCGAGAAAGTGAATCGAGATTTATGCGGCACCTCAAAATATGAATAAATTATACTAAACTATACTAGATTACGAATAACGAGGATGTGATCTGTGAAAATAACATATTCAGGTAGTAAATCAGTGGGCCGTAATGGAATCGAGCAGACTCAATCGAATTGTCGGTGATGTAAAGATCCCGGACGTCACTGGCCTCACATACGGGTCAGCGTATTTACTTGCAAGTATCCCCCAGTATTTCCTTGTTAAATTCTTCTATTTGCTTCGACTGAATGCATAGGTGCAAACAAAAATCTCAGGATGGGTAATTAGTCAATCGAAGGGCTGTTGTGTGACACAAAGAAGCGAGAAACGCTAAGCAACAGTGGTGATTTTCGATTACACGACCTATTGGATGATATAGCAGATAAGACTAGTACTATCCGATCACTAACATCGGATTACGGATAGAATGGGACGAGAGCTGGTGAGAAACCGGAGCGCGTACCTGTCGAAGGAAATGGTTTGTCAAATTTCTGCAGTGCATTGGGCTTTGTCTTAGGACATGTGTTAGCCCCGAGTCTCCGTGAAAACTGCATCGACGGGGGACAAGCACACACGGCAAGATTAAAATACGGGTGTAGATTATAACACAATCACTAATGGCGTTGACAGAATTTTCGTTCAAAGCCCAGTTTTACCAGATGTTTTACGTGATTTTAAATAGCCTAAAAGGTAGCAAACAAAGTTAGGATAACCTTGTTTACAGGTTGTCACCGAAATATTCACAACGAGCGTTAAAAATGTAGGGCCACAAACTTTGCACACATCGCACGCTAACTTGGAGTGACCATTCATGTGGCTGAATGATTCGTTTTCACAAGAAAGAAAATCCGTAAATTGTAAGAAAACACAAAGTGGCGAACAGGCTCGTTTGCGGTGATTCTTCTACAGGTTAATAGATTACAATTTCTATCAAACTGTTTAGAAGGGAGGAGGGAGAGAAATCATGAGAAGTTGGAAAAGAAATAATCAACATTCCAGTTCCATG